CAGACGATTCGCAAGAAAGAAGAAGAAAGAAGCGTCAAAAACAAAGAAAATTCTCTAAAAACTTCACTCAATATTATTAATAATCAAGAATGACGAAAATTAATCCACAAGCCAGGTTAAATAGCTGCAAAAATATGAAATTATCAAAAAATTACCAAAAATAGCAAAATTCCAACGATCACACCAAAATAAAATATGAAATAAAAGAAGTAAGTTGCCAAAAAAATTGGTTCAATCCGAATTCTCTAAAATTTCACTTTAATTTAGTTCGTATTTAAATTTATAATAGCTATATTTAGTTTGTTTTAGATTCATTCCTGGTAAGATATAAATATATATTGAATTTAGGGTGCGTTTGATTGCACACATTTTCCATGGAAAATGTGTTTTTCCTACCTATTTTCCTACTTTTGTCTTGTTTGATTGACAATTTTTTCCAAGAAAAATATTTTCCCACTTTTGATCACGTGACCACATTTTCTTTGAAATCAAGGAAAATATTTTTTTTGGGGGAAGGTGGATTATATTTTCCATGGAATTCAACCGTTCCAACAAATTCTCAACTCACGTTAACATTTCTCTCTCTCATCCCAATCCACGTACAAAACAGTATCGTCTCTCTCATCTACTCTGGCGAACCAGGCAGAAGCAGTCAACGACCCATCTCTGCTTCCATATCTGACTCCGGGGAAATCACTGCAGAAGGTCGACAAGGAGGCTTTGATTGCATAAATTGAGGTTAATTTAACAATGAAACCACCATTTTTGATTTCTACATGTTTATAATTCTTAATTAGTTTTGAGTGCGAAGTAATTCTTTTTTAATCAGATGAAGAAACCCCCAGTATGTCTGATTCAACTTTGATCGTTCGTTCATCCAAATTAACATTTGAAGGGTAATCTCTCTCATTACCAATTTCGATTTCAATTAGATTCTGTAGGATTCCAAGGGAGTGGAGAAATTAACAATCAGTTGTGGTGATTTTAATAAAATGGGGAAGAGAACTGTAGGAGCAGTTGGGCGGGGGGGCTGGCGAAGAAGGGATGGCGAACCAGAATCGTTGGGTGTGGTAACTCGGGCTGTGAACACTTTTTTATTTTATTTATTTATTTTGGATAATCGCCTACACCACCGGCCCCTCCTCCGCCACCGACCCTCGTCGCTTAGAATACTGACCCTTTGGTCTTGTTCCTCAAGATTTCCTTTCCCACTATCTCTGCTTTAACCCAACCCCACCCAATATCCCCAATAACCAACAAGAGGGTTGTTCATCTTCCCTTCAATATATTTGTATGTGTTTCTGGTAATTGGATTTCTATACTGGAATGTGTTCCTTCTTTTTGTTCTTTTTCCTGTTGGTCTTTACTATCATAGGAACATATCTATTATTATTAATTGTGCATGATTTGTATGGGACCTCATGCATAATTAAAGTCTCAACCATTTCTTGAATATGGCCCTAAATTTTGATGTTTCCTCAGGAATGGTTTTTGGCTTACATTGCTTTCCTTCTATTTCCGTTTTATTTTACTTTGTCTGATAATCAGAAAGCAATGATGTGAAGCACATTACTGCATATGGTTAAGAAGTACTAGTTAAGGTAGTCATAATTAATGTTTTTTGATTAGCGAAATGGGAGAGATGTGAACGGGTGAGTTCACTGATCGGTCTTTCCATTAGGACCAGGTACATACGACTTCCAAGCATACAATATTCAAAACTTGGTGTCTGTTTCTGTTGTTAACTTATTTCAAGTAATTGATGTTGGCATTAATTCTTGTTTGCCTTTTGCATTTGTGAGCTGATAGACTCTTGTTTGATTTCACCTTTCCTAGGTAATTTCAAATATTGTATTGCAAATTTTGTTAAAATCTGTCCAGATTCAAGTGTTAGATGTAAAGGAATCCTTTTTTCTTGGAAGACTATGGTGCAGTCCCTTCATAACCTGAAGCAGATTCAAGCTTCCTTTTGGCCAGCTGCCTATCTTTTTAAACTCCAGGAAGGCACCTCACCAGAAGCCTGCTTGTTTTAATGCTCGTGGAAGCTGTGTATTGCAGCATTGTTGACTGTTTTTGTGCAGTTTTTTATTGCCCAAATGGTAGTAAACTTCTGAAATTGGTGCTGTCGTGCTTGGAGCCTCAATTTCAGCCAGTTTGCTTTTTCAAGTTGCCTTCGTCTCACTTGAAGGCTTGACATCGTTAGAAAGTTATTTTTCATTTTCTTGTGGATTCTAGATTTGTGTTCAAGGTTTTGAGCTGCATCAATCTTATTCATATTAAATAATTTAGGTTGTGTTTTTTATATTTGGAACAAAAATTTCAAGATTCACCAACTTCAAAATTTATATGTTATTTAAATTGATTCATGTTTCGATACTTGTTTTGGATCATTGTGGCGTTTTACTTTGAATGCGCGAGTATACCCGAAGTAGTTGTACTCACAATTTTGATCAATATAATTTATTTACGTGATTAAAAAAATAGTATAGATGCTTAATTAGGTGTTTAAGGTTTGTTAATTAATTTATTAAATTAAGTTGCGGCTATGGAATATTCATGTAGTTGGCCGTGAACAATAATCCAATTCGAAATCATGGCTGATTGAACTTTGATAAGATTTGCTTGCTCTTTAAATTTGATATAATCAAATTATTTTCTATCATATTATTGTCGAAATATGACTTTTCCAAAAAAATCATAATCATAGTGCGCATACAATATTAATTTATTTATGAAGACACTATTGTTTAATATTTCTAAAAATTGATGGACAAATTTTCATGGAAAAAACCACTATTTTCCATGGAAAAAGTGTCAATTTTCATGGAAAATAGTGGTTGTCAAACAGATAAAGTTGGAAAAAAGTATTATTTCCATGGAAAATAATGGCTATCAAACACCAAAAGTTGGAAAATTGCAATATTTTCTAGGTTGAAATTTAAGTTAATCAAACACGTGTAATTAACATTTTCCATGTAAATAATTTTCAGGCAATTGAATTACCTGAAAAATATTTTCTTTCCATGTAATTTTCCTACTTACAATCAAACGCACCCTAATATCTAGAAAAAGGAAAACGAAATATTACCATAAATAGTAAAAAAATAACTAAAAATTGAATTTCGGAAAGGAAAATAGTGGATTTTGGGCTCGAAATTGACGCCCACCAAGCATAACTGGTGACGACGATGTGCGTGCCAAAAAGAGCTTTTCGGATTGGGGTCATAATAGCGATTTTGATAATCGTAGCCAAAGTTATGACAAAATTACCAAATACGTGTTAAAATTACCCCAATTAAGGAAATATTGTATTTATTTTTCGTCTTTGTGCCTATCCGCCATCTCATGGTAACTTAGTGCCATCAATGAACTATCTGACAAATCAACGTTACTCGACTCGAATTCTCCTACATCTGTTATCCTTTCTAGTTTTACTAATAACTAAATGCAAAATAGAAGAATACGGTTAAACTGTTTTCGAACAGAGTTTACAAGTACAAAAGAAATACATTAACCATACAAAAAAACTACCAATTGGGAAACCAATCTAAGTGCACTAGAAAACTATAAACTAGAAAATAATCTACCAAAGGGAGATATTGGCTTTCAAATTCAATTCGTAGTTCTTTATACATCAAATCAAACAAGAATTCAGGTAACTTAAACCTAGCGATGGCAACGGGCAAGTTGGGCTCCCTCGCGCCCCACCCTGTTACCCCTTTAAGGTGGGACGGGCGATTGCCTCGTTTACCTACCCATTTAATTTATTAAATTTTTAATTAATTTATTTAATTTTAAAAGTTAAATTATTCGAATATGGTAAATTAATGTTTTTATTGTTTATCATATTTTTTAGATAATCTTAGTTGTCATCTTCTATTAGAATTAATGAAATTTTTCTACTTAGGGCATATTTGAGCCCCATTATTTTCTAATGATGCATTTTAGAATGTTTAATCTTGCTTCTAGGGAATAAAGAATAACATCATTCTTCCATTCCTCTTGAGTCTACATTCTAATGAGGGGTATATTCAATTGAGACTTTTAATGACTTTTTGAAATTTAAAAAATTTAGAGGTATTCAATTGAGACTTTTAGAGATTTTCTAAAAGTCACGGTGTATTCAATTGAGATTTCTATGGACTTTAAAAAAGTCTTTAAAAGTTACGACGTATTCAATTAAAATTTTTTAGAAGTCTCTATAAGTTTTGGGATATTCAAATTTTAATGGCTTTTAAATAAAGTCTCTGAAATACTAACTTTAAAACAGAAAGTACTCATATAAAATTTTAAAATTTGTCTCTTATTAATCACGAGATTTTGGGAGACTTTCACAAATATATATATATATATATATATATATATATATATATATATAAAATTTCAATCTTTTTTTTCCTTTAATCTTTTATGGACATGTATTATTAAAATTCATTTTTTTTTCTATTGATTATATTCCATTTATTTTTATTTCGCTCTTATTATTTATCTCTATTTTCTATGAAAAAATTAAATTGGATTATTGTAGCTTTTTTCTTTTTGCGTTCTTTTTTATAGATATCTATTTTTTTTTTATTAAATTATAAAATTTTATATGGAAAATTTATAATTAAATTTTAATATATTGATTTTTATTTATTTTAAAAGTATATTTTGATTATTATTTATTTAATTAAGGTTTTAAATTTTTTTTTCAATTTTTTTTTTATTATATAGGAAGAAGAAGGGAAAGAACAGTAGAATTGCAGGAACTAACACTTGATATGTGAGAATTTCATACTAAATTCACATGAATTTTATTTTAAATGAAAGTTTTCAAAAAAGTTTAAAATTTTATAAAAGCCTATAAAAATTTTAAAATAAAAATTCATAAAAATCTACGAAAAACTTTCACTAATTTCATATAAATTTATGAAAGATCCACAAAATCCACAAAATTCATAAAAGTCATCGTTTTAAAAAAAATCCATTAAAGTCTTTAAATTACAGTCACAGTCGAATACACCCGGAGTGTTCCCCAGGCTGCTCCACTACCCCCATTTCCTCGTCTGCAACCTCCAAGAAGTTTCGATTGCCACCACGATTTCCTAATTAAGCTATGGCTCCTACATCTCCTGCATTGGTTCATACAGGGGCTGCAGAACCAGCACGATCAAAGGTTGATCTCAATCACATTCCTCGCCCTATCCCAAGTTCCATAGTGATTCTACTTGAGATCCGTCAGGGCAATCAGGCAAACCCTCCTCCAGTAATTTGTCTCCTCATTTCCTGAATAATATAACTTCACTTGTAATGTTCCTTGATGTTGAATTAAAATGACCTGTTTGGAAACATTTTTATACTTTCATTGTGATAAACAAAATAACTAGCACACATTATTGAATTCCACAAAACGCGTCGATAATCATGTCAAGGGCTTAAGATAGTCTCAAATAGTTGTTCATTTTCTTGTTCTTTATATTAGTTTCTGGTTTTCTCCCATGTGAAGCCTGCAACAAGTGATTATATCATCAAAGACACTGGGAATTGCAGTCCACGATTAATGAGGTGCACTATTAATCAGGTAAAGTTTCCGCATTTTGTGTTTAAATTTTTGTTAATCCATCATTTTTGGGTGGTGGAGAAGGACTGGCATCTTTCGTGAGCAATTAAATTTCTAATGAGTTTACCTTAATTGAGGATTCTGTTTATGTTATTGATTCCACGCACTGTAGACCTTTTGTCAACATCTGCCATGCAGTTGGCTTTACTGGTCCAGCCTTTGGCTCTTCCTCATCCTTCTGAGGAACCAAGCCAAGTAATATTTCATATTTCTTATTCTGTTTGGTGGCAGTGATGAAAATATTTCTTTGTTAAATTTTACAATATAAATTTGCTCTCACTTCAATAATGTCTTATTGCTAAACAAGATGTGGATACTCGCAAATTTTCCAGAAGGCTTGTAAATATGGTTGTGATCTTGCATGTTTGCTCTCTTGTCATCTTATGTCTGTATTTTTCTGGCCTGAAGAGCATTCACTTGTACTATAATGAGATAGAGTGTAAATGTGAAACACCTCTCACCAATCTTTTCGAGTTTTAACATTTAAATATTACCTGCTAAATGAATATTGTTTTACGATGAGAAAAGTGGGGCATTATCGAGATTGAAAACTTGGCAGTTTGTAGATAATATCTAAGATATGTAAGTTATACAAGTAGATAAAGTAAATTTCTAGACTGGAAAGGAGGCAGCTCCTGATAGAAATTTTTCTTTCAGTTCTTGCCGATTGGATGGGTTGGCAGATCCTGATGCTCATATTTTTTTTATTTACTACTCATCACTGCTATACTTTGTTCTAATTGGCTCAAAGCATGGGAAGCACTATAATCATATTCGGATATAGTTTCATATGATGCATTTCCTTTGTTAGAATCTTTTCGATACTCCTCTATTTGAATAGAAACTGGATGAATGGATGTTGTTATTATACAGGGATGTGCCACACTGCTGAGCCCTGCCTCCATTCTTTTTCCAAATCAGCTTGAAGTTTTACTAGAAGAATGTCGTATTCTAACTACGGTAAAATATATTTAAAAATAAAAAAATAAAAAAATTCTTGCTCATTCAATAGTCATAATTGTTGGATTTAACTTGATCTGATATGGTGGTTTCTGGCAGCTAGTTATTGATGACTTCTTATCCTTCTCCTGTGCACTTATTTTGTCTCTCCCTTCTAAAGATTTCAATGTTTGGCATGTTTACATGACTCATGGTTTAACAAAAAAAATGTGGCTGTTGTGATACGTTTCTGAATTTCCTATCCTGTCTAGTGTTGATTATTGGTTGGTTGGGTTGGGCACTTTGACCTCTGTGTAGGAATAATAAAATATCGATATACCTATGCCCTATGCTTTGTAGGTTGTGGATTTTTGGGAAAGTGGCCCTGTTCGTTGTTCTCGCTGTAAAGGCTCATGAATCCATTCATCAAGTTTTTTGATCAATGCAGGCATGTCATTTGTAATTTGTGTTGTGAGTACCTTTTTGTTCAACACCAATGTTATACTCAAAGACGGATTATCATTTAGGCTGTTAAGGCATGTTTTCAAGATTTTTTAGTCCTGGTAATTTATTGGGGTTTGACTGTGAGGTTGCCATGTTTATTCTTGAATGGTTGAAGCACAGGGAATATGGAAGTTAATATGCACATTGGAGAGTCTTTTACAAGAAAAGGGCATTGGATTTCTGAATCCTAAAGCCCCCTAATGCTATGTTCTGAGTTGTGTGACTCATTGGTTTTTTAGGGTTAGGATTAAAAAAGGACCAGCCCCATAGTATGAACTAATAACCAGCTCATCACTTCGTATTATCTGGATATAAAGAATCAGTAAAGATATGATAAATCAGTCATATCTTTGTAGCAACTGAAATTTTTTTTTTTTGCTTAAACTTTAATTAGAAGTTGTAAAACAAAATGAAAGAAGTAAAGGTGTGGATAAATGGAAGGATGAGAGAGAGAGAGAGAAAAAAAGTATATCAATGATATAGAATTCCAATATGTAAGGTCTACGAGTCAAAAAATGGATTTTTGTTCAAGAATGAAATCTTATTGGAACTGTCCATATCCGGTTCATCCTTCGAAACCCTATCACACCCCGGATCTGATGAAATAGGATGAATTGAGACTAGTATTTTGTAAATACGTAATTATCTTGAATATATTAACCATTTCTTTATTTTTCGATCGCCTGGATAGACCCTGGGAGAGAATTCTGATTGGTCAATAAAAATCGATTTCAATGCTTTTTTTTTTTTTTTTCCTGAGTTTATCCAATTTATCGTGAAAGGTAAGAGGGGATAAAGGAACCGTGTGTTGATTGTCCTCTAAAGGTAAGTTTTATTGGGATTATTAACAGTACCCTTTTTAGAGAATGTTAATAAATTCCAAAATCCATTTCACCGTCCAGTAGCAACAACCGTCTTTTTGATTGGTACTGCAGTCGCTCTTTGGTTGGGTATTGGTGCAGCATTACCTATTGATAAATCCCTAACTTTAGGTCTTTTTTAATTTGATTCAATTGTGATATAACACGACGTGTGTATCTAGGGAATAGTCGCTTGAAAGAGAATTCTCCCTAGATACATCTATTCAATTCTCAATTTCTTTCGAATATATGAATTGTGCTAAAGATTCAAAACCTATTTTCATCTTAATGAAAAAAAAAAAAAGACGAAAAAAAAATCCAATAGATTTAAAACTTCTTTTTTGGTAAATCAATTGCAAAATATTTTTCTAGAATGACCAATATCTGTTTCATATCTTCTAGGCGCAAATGTTCAATTTTCATGAGATCTTCCAGACTGTTATTCAAAAGGTCCAATAATGTATATATATCAGACTTTTTGAGGCAATTATAAACCCTGGGAGAGAATTCTGATTGGTCAATAAAAATCGATTTCAATGCTATTTTTTTTCCTGAGTTTATCCAATTTATTGTGAAGGGTAAGAGGGGATAAAGGAATCGTGTGTTGATATGCTTCAAAAGGTGCATGTACGGTTCCCAAGGGATACAATTTTACCCTAATTAACCGACTTTATCGAGAAAGATTACTTTTTTTAGGCCAAGAAGCTGATAACGAGATCTCGAATTAACTTATTGGTCTTATGGTATATCTCAGTATCGAGGATGATACCAAAGATCTATATTTGTTTATAAACTCTCCTGGCGGATGGGTAATACCTGGAGTAGCTATTTACGATACTATGCAATTTGTGCGACCAGATGTTCATACAATATGCATGGGATTAGCCACATCAATGGGATCTTTTATCTTGGTTGGAGGAGAAATTACCAAACGTCTAGCATTCCCTCACGCTTGGCGCCAATGAGGTTTTTTTTATTTGAGAGAAAAAAGAAGACTATGCCTTCGCCATATGAATATTAAGTAATAATAGCATGGC